TCCGCCACAAAAACTCCTGTATTCTTTAATTTATTGGAATTGAGAAGAATACTTTTTTTTTTGAGATAGCTACATTAGTCCTACAACATCAGTATATCAGAGTTAATGACATATTTCTAAATAACATTATCATAATAATATGAAGAAATAACATTCAAAATAAAAATGTAGCTAGAACAATGGCTCGAGCCCCAACATGGTACAAAAAGGGAGAAATTTCAAAAGTATCACCGCATACGAGCCACCACTTGTATATTGGCATAGGGTCAGTTGTTTAACAGTGAACCAATCAGATACTGCTATCCCTTCCATCAATGAAATTAAAAATACGGCAGTTTGAAAACCTCGGAAGCACTCGGCATTTTTCGGGTGATAAGTAGCCATAGCGTGGGAGGAGCGAATTTGAATTTGGCTATTATAGGGAAAAAGAAATAATCAATAACGAACACTATATTCTCAAGTTTTTTATACAGTTAGCACCATAAGTCTTACCCCCCCTATCTAACTCGTTACTGGAGTCTTGTTAGGAAAATCGCCGAGACACGTCGATTTTTGATTTCTACAATGTACATTTTTGTATGAATATTTTACCCTTAATTTCATCCCTTACTGAAGGGGAGCAACCCTTTAGAAAAATTTAAAGGGCATGGGGTGGTGAGTGATAGCTCATTTGAAAGATGGTTTTATTCTCTATTCAACCGTGTAAAAAAATTTGAAATTTGCTTCATTAATTCTCGACTAATTGTTGTTTCAGAATAACGGAAATTAACGTAGCGCACTCATCCTTAGAATTAAAATTCGGCCCTGCACGATTTCAGTTTTGGTTCAGACGTGAAGTAAGACTTTTTGCCATTAGAAGGTCACTGTCTAGTTGCTTTCCTATTTTGTGAGGTTTTGTTATTTTTAAACATTAATAAATCAACACGTAATGAAGCAAATTTTAAAATTTTTTGCACGGTTGAATATAGAATAAAACCCCCTTTCAAATGAGCTATCACTCACTACCCCATGATATTTAAATTTTTCGAAAGGGTTGCTACCCTCCAGTAAGGGATGAAATTAAGAGTAAACTAATCATGCAGAAATTTACATTGTAGAAATCAAAAATCGACCTGTCTCGGCGATTTTCCTAACAAGACCCCAGTAACGAGTTAGTTAGGGGGCGGGTAAGACTTATGATGCTCACTGTATAACGTCACTGATACAACGCTAGAATGCTGTTGTTAGCCGCCTTTTTATTGTGCTTTTAGACTTTTGTCTTTGATCGTTGAGAAAAGAGGTTACTTTTAAAGTTCTGCTGTGGTGACGATTTTTTATTTATTTTGCAAAAAAATAGCAGACAATTGAGATGACTTACGCAATGGCCAGGACTAAAAAAATGTAAAGATTATGTGAAAAAATCCTATAATTAGTTTTAATCGTAGTAATTCAATAGATATAATGTAGAATGCACTTTACCTGTTTTTTATTTCATATTGTTGATAAACTTTCAAAGGTACCTTTAATTACATCGATGTAGCTAGTGACATTTCTGTCAAACTAATTATAAGTATATTTTTAGTTATTGAAAATAAATATACATTAACTTGAGCTATTCTCGTGCAGAATCCATAAATAATAGAATATCTATTTTTATTTCGTCTAAATTGACAAATAAACCATACATTTAAATAAAACTATATAAAATCAATTTAAGTACGAGTATTAAAACAAATTTTTATGTATGGCAATAAAGCAGAGACAAGGGCATCTGGCTTTCATGCGAAAGATCCGGGTTCAAATTTGAGCTGGGGACTAATTAAATTAAAAAAAAATATGTTTATTTTATTTTGGGTCATAGAAAAAATATACTGTACAAGTCGATTGAATTGTGCTACTTACTTTCTGTGCCTAAGCACCTGAGGTGGGATTTATATTATCCAAATGTTGGATGCCAAATAACTACAGTGAAGAAGGGGTGAGTCGTAGAAAAAGTTATGTATGTGAGTGGGCGCCAGGAGCTTAACCTCACATACAACAATCCAAGTTCACTATCAAACTCCAAATAGAAAAACCTATAAGCATTACCTCTACGAAGGCCTTCAAGCGGCTACAAATTGAGTATGCTCCTATTTAAGTATAAACGTTACCTTACCATAGGTCTTATTGACCAACCTGACTATGTAATCAGACAATTAGCAAGTGGGGTTAAATAACAAGAATAATTCAATATGTATACCCAAGTTTAATAATTATAAATTATTGTGTGTCGACATGGGGAGTCAACTTCTTTCAAACGTAAAAATAAGCAATATTTAACATATAAATCACTTAGTACATTCACTACTAAATTCCCCAACTATTAACAATAATCCAGTATCACTGGGAGTATTATTCACAACTAAACGCTATATTAGACTTTAAAAATATTTAAATGGGACTAGGGGTTATCTTAAAAATGTAACACATGAGGTGTGTACTGTTTTTAGCAAGCAAAGAAATAATAGTGTACAATTTACGGACGCTAGGGGTAAAAAAGAAGTAAAACTCTGTTATTAAAAATATTAGTTACCCATCAGTAATATACCGCACGAAGAGCTCTTGGTGACGTGTTTCGGGTTTAATAAAATGTATTGTAAACTATACACCCCTAAACCTCGTTTACATTAGGTTTAGATAAAAATACGTACTAATAACCCCCCAATAAAATAGATTAAATAGTAATAAAGTAATAACTTGCGGTAAACCGTGACTTCTTTCCAAGCTGGCCAAACTCTAGTAGACGGTTGATGTCCTACTTCGGCATACAAATCAATCTGCCTGTCATAAAGGTTGCTAGCGCGTCACACGAATACTAGCCGGTCACAAGAAGTACTAGCTGGTCACAAAATGTGCTAGCCAGCCCGTCACAAGAAGTGTCAGCCCGTCACAAGAATTGTTAGCCCGTCACAAGGACTACTGGCCCGTACCAAGAACCCTAAAGAAAACGTGTAAGATAAAACACAGAAATAACTATTTATCCCTGGTTAATAAAGAAGTTAAAATTAAATAACCAGGTACCTACAAAGCCTTCTCGTGAAGCAAGGTCTAGAAATAGGTACTCAACGTTTACTAGTTAAAGTTCGGCTTATCAATTTATGTAGGTAATCTTCAGATTTACAAATCAAAAAGATAGACGGCTCGTGAAGCGAGTTCTACCCAACAATTACACTTAAAAGGCAAATTACACCCTTAGATTTCAAAATACTACCCGTTAAAAGTCAAACCCATATACTGAAAATATATACAACGAAAAGGAACATAAATTGGGGTTATGATCGTCTAAAATCAAGCTATATTTACCCCTTTTTAATCTGCAAAAGGAGGAACAAATGATGCACCAGATCAAATTGAACGGAAAATTCGTGAACGGCTTATTCAGAAAGACTACATATATATGTAGGCACTGAAATAAAAGATGAAAGCCTTACAAAAAGAATTACTACGTCGTAACTTTAAATACTGCGTAGAAGAAAACTTATCAATGAGATTCAACACGTGGTTAAATATATCCTCCTAAGAGAGCTCCCACAACATGTGGTCACCAAAAATACTAAATACTAAATCACACTGTTGTAACTCAAAACAAAGGTTGTTTCGCAAAATTTCAATTATGGATTGAAAATTAATTCCAATAAATGTCGAAGCTACCTGTTATCACCCACGTGTCGAAAATCTGCGAATTCCAAGAAGAAGGAAACCAATAATACCAACATACCTTAGTGGCAAATAGGTGTCCTATCAGCGCCCTCTATTACAAAATAAATTCTTGACAGAAAGGACTAAAATAACCAAACAAAGCCTCTAAAACCAAATAAATAGCCCAACTAAACTCAAATAGAGGTACTATCTACCCCAAACTGATCATATACCCACAATTACCATCAGGGCGGAAACGCTAGACCGACATCTTGAATATAGGGCAGCCACCTACTCGCCCAGAGTGTCGCAGAAAAACCCCTGAATCTATGGAAAAAGGCACGCTAAGAAACGCCTTCGACTGTGACGACAAAATCAGTCGTTCGACTACCGATCCAAAAGCACAGTGGTTTAAATGCGGGTATAGAAGGACCCTTTTAATAATTACTGAACACGGAGTATTCCTATTTTAATGAAAAACCGCTATAAGGCCAAATTTAAACGTTACAATTGTCCCCATATCGCACTTAGATGATTGAGCATTTCGTTTTCGGCGTCGTGTGCTCAAACTTCGTCATCGTGAGATATGGCCATCATAATATCCACTCTTGTTGCACAAACTACTATTTTTAACTGCTGTTGCGTTTTCATGTTTAATTAAAGTTTAATTTATTCATTTATTAGCTTTGGATATCAATATCTACTTTACCATTGACAATACTTTCTTCCCAAACCAAACGGCTTCGATGTTAATAAAAACACAGGTATGAGTTTGGTGTGCGCAAGCAATAAAATCAATCGAGCTCAGAATATAGAAATCATCAGTACAATATTAAAACTGACACCGAATAAGTCAGTTTTTGTGTGTGTGAACCTTCAGATGTTAAGTGTGGGCCCACAGGAAAATATAGAAGAAAGTATCCCGATCCAGAGCCACTAGTAAAGGTAGGGTGAAAAGATTGTCATTGTTTGATTAAAAGAAATAAATTATTAGCCAGCCCAAATTCACAGTCCATTATAAACGCAACAACTGCTTTGCTAAGAATAGTGATTGACACAGGTGCCTTTTGGTAAGATACACTGTTTTTACATACCTTCAGGGTATATTTCATTTCGTTATCCGATGACGGCCAAATTTTGCAGTGTACTCTTGGGCTGTTACATTGTGTCACAAAAACTAAAAATTCAAAAGTGAGTTTGTTGTTTTATGACTCCTTTTTTTTTATTCTAGTTGCTATTATTTATTTGTCGTTAATTGTGGTAAATACCTTATGTTTTTAAATATAAAATGGATTTATTCTTATTTAGGTTTTGATTTAAATTTCTTTGTTTTTTTTTTTCAGAAATAATTAACAATGGAACATGTTGTAATCAGAAACATTTTTTTCTTTCATCATTTAAAAACTGTTTTTTATTTTTTTAAGTAAAAAGTTAAGTTCATTCTTTCCCTTTAATAAGCTCTTTGCATTAAATGGCTATATTTATTTAAAAAAACAATACTTAATTATGGTTCACTGTGTAAACAGATGTGTAACAACAGTGAACCAAGTTTCATTATTTTAATTGCTATGTTTTCAACATTTTTGTTTTTTACTACTATACTGGGCCCTTACAAATGAAATAATATAAGATGATATACTTTTGATACATAATTTTACAAATTTAACTTCAATAGAAAGAACACAGCAGTGATAAAAAAGTGTGGTGGTTAATTATTAAACTACTGACCTTACATACAATAGAGAGGGGATGCCATCCTCTACGTTATACTACAAAATGTTTATATATATTTTTCCAAGAAGTATTGAAAATTTACCAAAATAACTCAGTTTAAAAAAGTAGATGGTCCTCACTCTAATCAATTTTCGTGGGTAGATAGGTGACCTCGTTATAGTCTAAGATCCGGCTGCGAAATTAGTACATTCATAATGTAGATGATCGAAATCTAATTTCGACGGACTTTATAGCAAGGATAATCCACTTTTCAGTAGGTGCCAATTAAAAATTGCCCTAGTATTTTTAATTAAAATAATATTAATTGAGTTTTCGGGAAACATTTAGTTTACATCTTACGGAAATAAATCCTACTCCACTTCACAACAATGTAATTGAAAACATTAAAAAGGTACAGTTGCTGTTGATTGCTTAGCCGCAACCTCGTCGCAGCCAGGTGTAAACAGGTATAACTTTGTCTAATTTTTTCGTTCATGACGTATATTCATTCCAATTGTGCCATATTATAGCTAATTTTTTTCTGTGCTTAATGTAACAAAGCTGCCTATAAAAAAACCGCAAATAAAAGTTTCCTGCCGTTAAAGATGCTAGGCATTGTAAATAAAGTGACAGAGAGTGAGCGGGCAATGCTACTTGTCGGACAAAGATGTTAAATGCCGACTGTACGCGCTTTTTAAGCTATTGCACACCAATGGTTTTTATATGCGTTTTTTGTACAATTACTCTTGATCTACTCTTAGTTTTGTTGATATGTTAAGTCCGGAACGGACGAATTGCTCTACATATTCAGTTAAAAAATTGTAAATAGCTCGTTAACTAAGAAAGATACAAAGTTCATTTCGCTATAAACAACAGCAAACTTTTTATAAAAAAAAAAACGTTTTTCTAAATGTTAATTTAACACCCTGTAACTTTGTTGAGAGCCAGTTTTTGATATAGGTAAATATAGCCAAATCCACTTATTTTTTGGTAATCTATCTGAGGATGAATTTATGACATATCTTTTTGAAACACCCTGTATAATTCATAATAATAATGTAACAGACATAAATTAATTTTTTATAATTAAAAATTGATTAATACACAATTAAAAATTATTCATTAGAAAAAAGTATAGATTTTTTAATTGTCTGAGTGTACCGTATATTTATTTATTAATAAACTTTTCATTTCTAATTTCTTTATTATTCTAAATATTATTTAATGTCTGACAGAGTCACATGCATTAATACACTAAATAAAAAATTTTACTTACAGTTTGACTTTTGCAAAAACTTTCAAATTCTTCTTTATCTTTTTGCTTCAAAACAGTGACTTTTTTAAGACACTCAGTATGGTAAACAAAATAATTAGCAGATTCCACTGTTAATATAATATCGTGATATTTATATTTTTTTTTTACGTCGGAATAATAACATTGAGAAACATTTTTTAAACGATGCATTACTAAATTGGAGCACGTTGTTCTTTTTACTACACAAAAAACACGTGGTCATTTTTGAAAATTTATCTTTACATAAACAAAAGTAATATTATTTCAATATTAATAAAACAACAACTATAAAAATAATTATGTGTATTACGAGCTCCAAAACTGTGAGGTTAGGATAATAATAAACACCTCAGCTCAGCTGCTTAGTTGAGAACCCTATCTATCGAGACATGCGCAATAGCTTAAAAAGCGCGTACTGCCGGCATTTAACATCTTTGTCGGACAAGTAGCATTACCCGCTCACTCTCTGTCACTTTATTTACAATGCCTAGCATCTTTAACGGCAGGAAACTTTTATTTGCGTTTTTTTTATAGGCAGCTTTATTACATTAAGCACAGAAAAAAATTAGCTATAATATGACACAAGTGGAATGAATATACGTCATGAACGAAAAAATTAGACAAAGTTATACCTGTTTACAGCTGGCTGCGACGAGGTTGCGGCTAAGCGATCAACAGCAACTGTACCTTTTTAAAATTTTCAATTACATTGTTGTGAAGTGGAGTGGAGTAGGATTTATTTCCGTAAGATGTAAACGAAATGTTTCCCGAAAACTCAATTAATATTATTTTAATTAAAAATACTAGCGGCAATTTTTAATTGGCACCTACTGAAAAGTGGATTCTCCTTGCTATAAAAGTACGTCGAAATTAGATTTCGATCAACTACATTATGAATGTACTAATTTCGCAGCCGGATCTTGTACTATTACCGTTCCTTTATTATTTTACCACAATTTCAACATTATTTTTAAAATTTGTATCTTCTTGGTCTCTTTAGCTATTTAATTAATAAAGTAATTTTTTTATTAATATTCCTTCGTTAATTATTGTTCGTAATACTACTCTTATGATTTATTGCCAGAGACATTACAACATAGAGACAAAATGTTTCATTCATAATTACCATACAATTGCGGACTATTATTGTTTTAAAATTGTTGGTGAGTGGAAGAGAGAAAGACAGATCTCTTAGGACCGGTTGGCAACGTTGTAAACAGTGACGTAGAGTTTTAAACTTAGCAGTATTATCAGAGTAGTATGTTAAGAAAATACGTAAATAAGTAGGTATATTTTTTTAGTAATATAATTATGATGATTTTTTCATGTAGGTAAATTCAAGTACAAGTAAATTCAAATACAAGAGAATTCAATTTTCCTTCCGATTTGTAATATTTTTTAGTTTATAATTTATTGACATTTACTATATATTTGCCTGGTATGATGTTAAACAAAATTATTTAAAATTTTAAATTAACATTAAGTAGGTAGGGGTATATATATAAAACACTCCTAAAAATATATAATTTTTTAAATTAATAATTACCAAAAAACATGGTATGGCAAAAAATATTGTAAAAAAAACTGTAAAAATTTTTAAAATAACGTTTTAAATTTATTAAATGCCTTAATTTTATTAACTAAAATTTCATTTAATTTTTTTATGCTTAGTTATTAGTATTATTATGTAATGTGAGCCATTTCATTAGTCAGTCATGCTCTAATACTCCAAGTCCCTCTCTGTATTATTTGGCCTTTGAGACTCAACTTGTCCGCTTATTATACATAATTAAACCCCTTAAGACTAAACCTATGGGACGACTATGGTGGAGACACTTTCGCGAACATTCCAGAGTCAACGAGATACTATTTCTAGTCTAAATATAACGTTTCTGGCACCTTCTGGCAAATTTGGTGGGGGAGCATTCTAGACCACCAATTTGTATATAAATTGGTGGAGGAGAGCCATCAGTTATCAGTTGATATATGGACAGTGAAGATAAATATAATTAGTAGATAGACAGTGGTGAATATAAATAGTGATCAGTTTAAAGACATTCGAAGTATGTATAAATTAGAATAGTTGTGTTATAAATAAGTGTTTAAATAAATTATTAATAAATAAACTGTTGTTTGAAAATAAACAAACATCACAATTACTTACTGCAATGTTCTTTTGCAGCAGGTAATGTTCCAAAAACAGTTGAATCAGAACTAAAAATCCATACATTAGATATACATACATATAGGTAATAAATAATGTTTAGAGGTTAACAAAAAATTAATATTTTGTATTTTTACCTGTTGGATAAGTCATCCAAAAATAGAAAGCCCTCATACCGTCTGGGGTTTGCATCTTTTCTGATATATTTAGCATCATTTGCAAGTACCAAAACATCTTCAGGAAAAAAGTTTTCTGAACTCTGGGTTTTTACGAAGGGGCTGATTTTCAAGGATCTTGCGGAAACCTAAATAGAATATTAAAAAATATGTATAGGTGTCTAATAGTTAAATCATTTTTAATGTATTCTACATTTTACGTTAAATTTTCTTTGCCACTATTCAATAATTATTTAGTGGTATAAGAATAATTTACTAATTTATAAAAGGAATATCACCTTAAAAACTGTTACATACGATTCAAATTCTATAAGAAATTGTATCAAATATTGTTTCTAATGAAAACAACATATCTTAACCTAAAAATACTTACCGATGAAAGGATTAATTTCGATTTAAATGATCTACCTTATTAAACACTATTGTACACATTAGGGTGGGCCGATCTATACGAAAAAAAAAAAAAAAATAAAATAAAGTGCGGGATCTCAATTAGCCTGGGTGTTAGAAAGTTGTCACTACTGTTGTTGATCATTCATGCAACATTTTGGCTCTGACAAATGCCGTCTTCAGGTGCCTAGTTCCCCTCGAATTTCCCACGAAGCTTGATACTGAAATGTGATTGAAATATGCAGCTCTTCGCTTATTTTACTCTTCAAAAACACAGTTTTAATGAATGAAATAACCCAGAACTCACCATGTGGAGGTGGCTGCATGGCGAGTTTCTCCCTACCTTCATATTTTCAAGAAAATTGCAAATTTATTTAAAAATTGCTGTTTTGTCTGAGTTTACGGAATTATTTTTTTGGAGGCAATCCTAGTTCGAATCAAGCCAACTCTGGATTCTGTTCCGCTTACTAAACCAGAGGCTTCAGTGACTGTTCTGATACATCTCTCAACAGCTTGAGTATGACAAGGATGTTTTGAAATTTCAATGTTGTCAGGAACTCTCACAATCATTTTTTGCAAGACATCATCTGATACTTTTATTGTAAGTGGAGGTTCAATTACGCTAACTGACTGCCAGTTTATCAATTCCGTGTAGTCTTGAGTATCAAAATTTAGTTTGGTGACTTTAAATTGTCTAATGTTTCTGTTATAAAGACCATTTACCCTGCATTTCAGAATTCTCCTCAGCGCAAGTTCTCTCATAGGCTTTCGGTCATCTGTAAGCATTGACAATAAAATATTTTCTGGATGATCAAAAAATGCATTCCTCTGTATGACAGGATCAATCACATCTTTAACTGCAGCCGGTAGATATCTCGATCTTCTTATCAGAGAGAATAAATGCCTGGAGCCTTCAGTGCACGATGATCTCACTTCAATATCAAACCAAACAAGAGCATAAACTTTTAATATAAATTCCGTTATTGTTATCAATTCGTTTGAAGGCTGTTCAGAAGCTACATAAAGTCTCAAGATCCTATTTACCGTTGTCAGCCATCTTGCATGTGCCATTTTTCCCGGATCACGCTTTGACAAATTTGGGGGCACATCACCCTTTGCGATTGCAGAACACATTTTATATAAGTAAACTTGATCGGTACTGGTGTCATTTAGGTCGAATTCCGATAGTTTGCCATCAATTTTTTCGAAGTTTACTACTGGAAGGTTCTGACATGTTGGAAAAAGCTTTCCAATCGGGCCTGAGAATCCTTTCGGGTCGTTAACCATCCATTTTCTCATTCAAATGGCGAAGTGAAAGTTCATTGGCATGCAGTAGGCAAATCAGCCATTGTAACTAGTGTCCAATAGCTTTTTTCAATTGCTTAACAACTCCGTTCTTAAAGGCCTGTATTCACGACAGTTCCGTCGCAACCAACAGCAGAAATTTCGTCAACAGGTCCCAGGTTACCTCTTAAAAAAATCCATAATACTTGATGTTATGTCTTTAGCATTGCCGGAATTAGGAGTTACGTACCGTTTATGATAAGTGCGTCTTTTTTTCCATCAGTAGTGTTCTATCCTTTCTACCATCAAAGCAGAGCCCTGTAATTTCCAAATTTCTCGTTGATTCCTTTTTTATCTCAGATCTTCGTCTCTTTCGTTCTCTTCTCAATTTATTACGGTTTAAAAGTTTTGAAGGGTCGTTCCTACTGACAACGCCGAGATCTTGCAAGACGGCATTCGCCAAAAAGGAAGCACATCTATTGGAAACTCCAGTTCGATCGCAAGCCTCTGCCAAATTTCTAAAATCCACTCCTCGAAGGTCTGTTTGTCTTGCTTTTGAAGTTGATGGACCATCTATTTGAAAATCAATCTCGCTTGTTGACGAACTTTCAGACAGAGACATATTTTCTTCTACCTGCGAGGAAGTTGCATCTAGAACAGTAACTTTTCCTACAAGCTCCGATTTCTTTGGATCGCTTTGGTCCCCTGGCTGCTTTATTGATTTGATCTTTCTTTGCATACGTTTTTCTAAAACCTTTGTTAATTTAACGTCAACGTTTCCAATAAACATTCTTCTTTCTGTTCTTTGGTTTTTAAAAATTCTTGTTCAGTTTTAAGCCCTTTAATTTTGCATTTGCAGAAGTCAAAATCTTTACACTTGCACGTCGATATATCAAAAAGTTTTTCACTTGATTCTTTGAATTTTTTCAACTTCTCTAAACACTTTTTATTATGTACGGATCCAAGTTTTTTTTTCAAATTCCGAAACTTGCCGACATAGTTCTTAATCAGTCGAGAAATCTCTTGCTCACTCACCACTTGTAAAGAAGCATTTTCCCAAATGTTTTTCAATGCAGATATAACTTTTTTAGAGACTTCACTTACACTCGGGTCTTTGCCATTATAATCGTCTTTAACTATTTGTCTGTGCCACAAATACGCTCTGATAACATCGCCGTAAGTCGGAAGAATGTTGCACTTAAGTTCTGTTGGTGCTCCAAACACCTCACATTCAATGTTTTTTTGTGTATTCGGCATTTTTTCACACAAACGAACAACTAAACCTCACTAAAAATATTAAGCAGAAGTCAATACGATCTTAACGCGTCGACTGCGTAAAGACAACTAATCTTGTCCGATCTTGTCGGAACAAGAATGGCAGACTTGCGGCACGGCGGTGGCGCGGTTCTGGGGTTTACGAAATATTGGAGATAGCTGCTCGACGTTGCTTGTGGATTTGGATCGCTGAGCTCAGTTGAATACTTTTTGATGAATTTTTGAGCTTATTAGTTTCTATTTTTGATCAACACAGCTATATAGAGATGAAAGACCATATAAATCACTCATGGATTTTACGATTTTTTTCATAATTCAAGTAGGCACCTGAAGATATCATCTCAAAAAGCCCATATTTTGTAGCGTAAATACTACACTGAAATGATAACTTTTGGTTACCCAGGACATTTTTCGGCACACCCTACTACACAAGAATGTACCATAATTCTTTATATTTCTCACAAAAGTTCACAAAAATAGTATTTTATAAATGAATAAATCAATATGTCACACAGATACTGTCAGAAACTGTCACAAACACAAAATAGCTGTTAGACCTAATTGGCAACGTTGCGGCTGGTTACGGTAACTACATTTCTTTCATAAAAATAGCTACTAGTGGTATATTCGTAAAATAAGATATTTAGCGCTGCCGTGTTTACGGAGTTCTTTGCAACCCTAATATTTTGTTTAGATTAATATTGATTTTCAATAAAAAATTTAGCTTATATTAAAACTTTAAAGAATAATTTGATTAAGAACATATTTTTATTTATATATTATGAAATTATAGTTATAGGATACATCAAATTTTATTTTTCGAAAGTAATTTCTGATAAAACCGGCAAAGACGCAATAAACGAGAATCTGGTGGAAATAATGATTTGCCACATAAAAATGTAAACAATTTGGTCTCTTAGTTGTAATGTCTTTGTTTATGACCATAACTTATAATTGTAACAACATGGATCCACATTTTTTTTATTTATATTTATTGCCTGACGATTACCTTAATGGGTCGAAACCAGTATTTTACTACCAATAAATATTGTGTGGTATCGATTTTCAGTTTTACTTATTCGTTGAAAAAATTGCCCAATAATAATATATTCCTAACTTTTTTAACTAAACCACTCTATTCAGGCAAATATTTGGGCGAAGCATTTTTGCATCAAATTAATTTAAAATGTAGTTTTTTATCCCAACCAAAGAAATCGTTTTTCTATTTCTATTTTCTTACCCATTACTCCGATCTATTTTCTAACTTGTTATTCCCCGGTGCCATTAAAAATACGGCTTTTTAAGTAACTTAAAACTACATTCATCCATTGTCAGGCTTGACGCATTGCCCTAGTCGATGAATGTTAAAAGGCCAATTAATGTACAAAAAAAAACGAATCCTAGTATTCAATCCTGAACCTTACACTTGTCTCCTTTATTCAAATCTATTACCCGTAGACGTTTTTATTACCATTTTTAATCTTGAACTATTGTGTTTTCCCCAGCTTAAAAAACAATCAAGAGGATATTTATATGTTTTGTTATTTTTAGAGATTTTTACTAGAATAAAGCGGTAAGTGAACTCGTGTGATCGAAACTGTTCAAGTTCAATGCGTTTCACAGAATGACTGATGGAAATGTAAATATGGGATATCCCACACATTATAAAGTATTTCTCCACGGGAAAACGTTTTCACAAGTCGCTGAAAAACAAGTTAGTTGAACCACGTAATTTCCAGACAAAGTAATTACATTTCTACGAGGTAAGACTGATACATTTGTAATCCGTAATAGATTATAGCAGAATACGTTAAAAAAAATAACAACATAGAAAAATACCAGAAAGAAGCATTTCAAATACTATAAAATAATAAACAAGATTGGAACTTGGAACAAAGATGGACGATTTTCAAAGAAACAGTAATAACGAAAACAGAGAAGATATGTGGGAAAATTAAATTTTACAAACATAAAAGGTGTTGTTAAAATATTATAACAATTTATAATTTTTATTGCGTGCACATTGGTTTTATAATAATATATTTATTCCTTTGGAAATCCCCCAAATACTTTTAAACCTGCAAAAAGAAAACAAATTAATTACAAAATTTAAAAAATCTGCCCCGGTCTGGGATTCTAACCCACCCATGTGTGTATTACGCACGATAGTTTTAAACCGGTTTTCTCTTTTTTATATGTGCATAATAGGGTGTTTCATTTTTGAGCAACTTTTTTTTTCAACTAAAAAACAGGCTTAAAACTTTCAGAAAGGTGAAAAAAGAAGCCACTAAAAATTTGAGCTCTTAATATTATCATTTAGTGGTGCCTGTTCGTAACTTTCCATTTTCCGTCTAAATAACATGGAATTTTTTTTTTCTTTTTTCTTATTTGAGCATTGTAAAAATAAAGTGAAACATTATTTTGGTAGGAAATTGAACGCCCTACAAAAAGTTCTAATATATTTTTTTCATAGAGTGAGCCATTCTGAAGATATTCAAACTTAAAGTTGCAAATGTATGAAATTAGGACTTTTATTTTATTAAACTGATGACTTTTTTATGTCTTAAAAATTATTTTCAAGAAAACAACATTATTTTCATATAGAAAGGAAATAACGACGCACAGAAGACAAAAATTCATCAGAAATATTTTTAAACAAAAATATGAGTGACTTTGTTTCAAAACAATCATTAAAACTTTTTGACAAATTTGATTTGCCGTACGACTTTCTGGATGCAGATGTCCTAATTTGGCCAGATAATGAAAGTTATCAAGAGAATTTGGAGTTTTTCGAAAAATTGAAAGTTTTCAATGACGTTGCAGGACATGGCGTCGCATTAGTAGAAGAATATAATAGATGCCTAACTAAAGATGAGGAACAATTTTAATATTTATTACAAGTGGTAAAGGAGCACTAACGAAAATATCCAAATTGTAATAAAAAAACTTCAACAAATATAGTTACATCATTTAATTCTGATAAGATATTAAAATATCTATTAGTTTCAAAATTTTAGTATGTGAATTATTTTAAACAAATTACAGAAATATAGGGATTTATAGACGCTATCCACTATCGTGCATTACGATGCGATACGGAATATAATGAGCTTAGGCGTGGTTGTCAAATGCTGCCGAATTTAACATTTCAAGGGATTAGATACTCTAAAAAATATATAATAAGTATAAAAATTTAGTTATGAATATCTTATACACCACTCATTATTTCAGAAGTGTTTCAGAAATATTTCAAACGTTCCAAACATATAAAATTTTAATAACAAGTTTCTGAAATATTTCCGAAATATTTTTGTTAAATATTTAATTGAAAATGTTTCTGAAACATGGTATACATATTACACAAAAGGTTACTTACTATACGAGTATTATTGCAAAAGGACAACACTGAAGAATTTCTGATTTGTAAGAAGAAGATTGGTTATATAGTTATTATATTTCATCCATGGAGGTTTTTGCCATTTCCTTTTCTTCACTATTTATGCGCTGTGTTGTTGTTATATGGGAGCAAAATATGTCTTTAGAAATTAAGGTGAGTACTACAGAAATATGGCTGGTTTAGGTTAGGTTTATTTACTTTATCTCATTTTTAAGACGAGTGACTTCATTTCGTTTATCAAATTTACAGCCAGTTTTAGTCTGATTTTTATTTCAATATAACCTACAGTTGCTGTCCCTCCACCACTTTAATTTATTAGTTCTACTACTGATTGAAAAGCTGAGCTTCATATTTTGTTTAGACATAAGTATTGTTTGTTTTATTCTAGTTAATTTAAAACAATATTAATCAAACAATTTGCATAAATCCTTTTTAATTACCTATAATTTCTTTGACATTAGTTTCTTTAATGGAATTTGTAGAAATGAAGCAATTCACCAGATTTGGTAAAAGTAACAGCCAAGTTATTCTACGTTTCCAAAGTAAAGTATTAAGGAACATCGTCGATGCACCCTAATACTGGCGCAATACTGATCTTCATAAGGATTTTAAAATAGAGAGTGTTGAAAATACAATACAAAAATTTGCCAGCAGTCACCAACAACGACTGCTCCAACATGGAAACCTTGTGATTATCCAGCTCCTTAACAATGCCAATCTAATAAAAAGACTTAAGAGAACCATGCCTTTTGAGATAATTCAGTGATGTTAGATTAAAGCAGAGTATAGTGCGGTTAAGTGTTATTCGTTAGCGGTAGTGTAACTAAATAATTAGACTCTAAGGTACACTAGTGAGTAGAATCTTAGTTTATGAAGTTATTAATCCCTATATAAGTTAGGTTAGAATAAAATTGCTTATTGATCTTAATGATCAGACTGTAATAGTCGTA